CAAGTCTGATTTGATTGAATTTATGTCAAATGAATATTTTGCACATTTTTGTATACAGGTAATATCTCATATCCTCCTGGGACCCAGGCATAGGCTTTTGTCCTCTGTAGAGGACATTATATTTTAGTGAATTTCTCTGAGACCATACATGCCACAGTTTTAAGTCTCGATGTCCTGTACAGAGCACATTCATGGCTTTTGAGGGATATCAAACGTTTGGAGGTTTGATGATAAACACTCCTTCTCCATGGTCTTTAAAATGACATATTGACAGAACGATCAAATTTAGCACTCTTATGGAAATATGATAATGTTTTGTAATTACCATTTAAATCTGACTAATTTTCAAATTGTTTGTCATAAATAAACATCTCAGAAAAATGTTATGTGGTTTCAAATCAGAATATGACTTTTTGTTTCGAAACAGGGCATAATTTTCATACATGTCTTCTGTAGAGGACACCAGGACAAACATCATGTTAATCAGGCATTTTGGGGAGACACAACAAGTCAATAGGGAAAGAAATTACAGATCAATATTCCTATGAAATATGAGATATTCCTATGAAAATGTTGCAAAGTTATTACTCCCATTATTACACTTCTTTTTTTAATTATGGTTTGCCCCAAGAACACATTAATATGCAAATTAGATGCAATGTATAGATGCATTGTATATAATGGGAATACCAATTTATGGACATTTTACGCACATATTGCATAAAGTAAAATATTATATCAAATCAATCTGTTATATCCTTCATATCATGGTTGAGAATCATCTTTGTACAAAGTTTGGTTAAAAATAGCCTGAAACCAAAAATAAAACATTGTTTTTGCCTATCCATGCCTTTTCACGTCTATTTATTTATTTATTTATTGAATAATTAGTTCTGGCGTCCTCTACTAAGGACATAAAATAAAATATGTATAAAATATTTTTTTTTCAAAAATGTTTTCTCTCCATTTGTTTCTTATGCTCCAACTAATGTAATGACATAAAAAAAAATCACAAACCTTTTTTTCTGATTCTCAGGAGGATATATCAAAAGAGAAAGGAAAAATTGAAATCGCATCGTATGACCCCTTTAAAGGCAGGGTATGTGATTTTTCAAAAACACTTTAGAAAACTGATTCGGGCCGAATAGCAAAACAAACTGGTAGCCAATCAGCAATAAGGGGCGTGTCTACTC